CAGGGACTCCCAAATGGAATTACCTGGGGAGGGACTTGGGACAAGGGATGGAGGGACAGGACACAGGGAATGGCTTTGAGCTGGAAAAGGGGAGATTTAGGTGGGATATTGAGAAGGAATTCCTGGCTGGGAGGGTGGGGAGGGGCTGGAAAAGAATTCCCAGAGAAGCTGTGGCTGCCCCTGGATCCCTGGAAGTGTCCAAGGCCAGGTTGGGATCCCTGATCCAGTGGAAGGTGTCCCTGCCCATGGCAGGGGTTGGAATGGAATGGGATTTAAATCCCTTCCAACCCAAATCACTCCAGGATTCTTTATGGACCAAAACCAGAACTTACAGTGCCATTAAAGCAAATACTTTATAAAGCAACATGTGGGAGAGACCAATCCCAGATAATTCCCTGATTTAAATCTCAGAACTTCCCAGGAAATCCCAAATACATGAATTATCCAAATTCTGCGCTTTTCTTGCTGGTTTTTGTGGTTCTTTCTCTTGCAAATGGTGCATTTTGGAATCAGAGCTGTCAGCAGCTGCATTTTGGAACAAGAGAAACCCCAATTTTACACTTTGCTGATATTAGATAGGATAATGGGAAGGAATTCCTGGCTGAGAGGGTGGGGAGGCCCTGGAAGAGAATTCCCAGAGAAGCTGTGGCTGCCCCTGGATCCCTGGAAGTGTCCAAGGCCAGGTTGGACAGGGCTTGGAGCAACCTGGGAGGTGTTGGCTTGTGATGAGATGATCTTCAAGGTCCCTTCCAAGCCCAACCATTCCGTGTTCCTGTGGAGGAAACCTCCATTTCTCTCCGAAGGGATTCACCCAGGCCAAGCACACGGAAAAATGAGCTAAATATGGAAGTCTGAGACAGGCAGGGCAGTGCAAGGTACCTGGGGATGTCAGGCTGAGTCATTCCAGCCTGAAAGAATTCCTCTTTTCCTGCTGCTTTTCCTTGACCTGATGCCATCCTTTGCTCAAGACTTGTTTTCTCCTGGCTCTGGGAGGTCAAGGGCAGAAACTGGAATTACTGGCGAGTTTTTATTAATCCCAGGCATTGGGAATCATTGATTGTGTCATCTGGGAGCCGTGGGGGGGTTGGACCAGCAATGGAATGGTGCTGGAGGGCATCTCCAGGTATGCCAGAGCCTGGGAATTCTGTGTGGGTGTTGGCAGAGTCCTGCTGGGCTCAGCTCTAGTTCTGCTCCCTGGTTGGGATTTAAGGGATGGATTAGAATTTTAAGGCATCTCCAGTTGCACTGAACAGGAGCATCACACCAGGAGCAGAGAGGGTAAAATTCCAGGGCTTTCATATCCCCCAAAATGACATTTTATCTCCTGTTTAGTTTGTGTGATTTTATTTGGCAGCAGGACTGTAAATCATCTTCCTTCTGTTGTGGAAGCATCAGGCTCCTCCTTGGGGAATGGGACAGAGATATCTCCAAGTCCTGCTGGGCTCAGCTCTAATTGGGATTTAAAAGTCGATTTAAGATTTTAAGGCATCTCCACTTGCACAGGAACATCACCCCGTGAGCAGAGAGGGTAAAATTCCAGGTCTTTAATATCCCCCAGAATGACATTTTATCTCCTGTTTAGTTTGTGTGATTGTCTTTGGCAGCAGGACTGTAAATCATCTTCCTTCTCCCATCTCCCAGCAGCATCAGGCTCTCCTTGGGGAATTGGACAGGGATGGCTTCAAATCCTGCTGGGCTCAGCTCTAGTTCTGCTCCCTGCTTGGGATTTAAGGGTTGGATTAGGATTTTAAGGCATCTCCACTTGCACTGAACAGGAGCATCACCCAATGAACAGAGAAGGTGAAACCCCAGGGCTTCCCAGGGCTACCCCCCAAAATGACATTTTATCTCCTGTTTGGTTTGTGTGATTTTATTTGGCAGCAGGACTGTAAATCATCTTCCTTCTCCTGTGGCAGCATCAGGCTCTTCCATGGCAATTGGAACAGGGAGTTTGGTGACTTCAGGTCCTGTTGGGCACAGCTCTAATTGGGATTTAAGAGTTGAATTAAGACTTTAAGGCATCTCCACTTACACAGGAACATCACCTCATGAGCAGAGAGGGTGAAATTCCAGGTCTTTAATATCCCCCAGAATGACATGTTATCTCTGGTGCTTTTTGGTTTCTCTGATTTTATTTGGCAGCAGGACTGTAAATCATCTTCCTTCTCCCATCTCCCAGCAGCATCAGGCTCCTCCTTGGGGAATGGGACAGGGATATCTTCAAGTCCTGCTGGGCTCAGCTCTAATTGGGATTTAGGAGTTGAATTAAGTTGAATTGAGATTTTTAAGGCATCTCCACTTGCACAGGAATATCACACCATGAGCAGAGAGAGTAAACTTCCAGGTCTTTAATATCCCCCAAAATGACACTTTATCTCCTGTGCTTTTCAGTTTGTGTGATTTTATTTGGCAGCAGGACTGTAAATCAACTCCCTTCTCCCATCGATCCTCTCCCTGAAAATTTTAATACTCATGGATTTCACGCTTCAGAAATAAAATTGTAGCGCTAGGAACGTGCTTTGGAGGCTCGTGGAAGTGGAGCTGTAATTTATACTGGTGGTATTAACAGCAGCATTGTGGGTTTTTTTAATGTACACCACGTAGAGTTGTGTAAATTCCTGTACTACGGGTCGTATATCCAAGAAAATTAAAGTTGTGCCTGAATTTAACCTCTGGTCCAAATCCTGATCCTGCTGACAGCAACAGGATTTTGATCTCCTTTCTTTGAAAGGAAGCAGCATCAGTGCCACTGTTTTTCCTGCTTAATTTCCCTGCTTTAATTAAGTCTTTTCATTTGCATAACAAGCATGGTAATACATTTAGAAAGATGTATAATTAAAAAACAAAAAAAGGACAATAATGCAGAGTTCACGTTGGAAATGGAAACAAAAAGAAAGGGGTTTGGGAAGGGTTTGCTTGAGGGGAGTGTGAGGGATTAATGGAGAGCATGGAAAGATTTAAGTCATTAAAGAGCATCCAAAGGAGGGCGACGAAGATGAGGGTGAAGGGCCTCGAGGGGAAGGTCATGAGAAGCCTTCAGACAGGATTTTTGGGCTGAGGTCATGGAGTCTCCTGGCTGAGGAGCAGCTGAGGGCACAGGGACTGAGGGGAGAGCTCATGGCAGTTCCAAATTCCTGGAGAGGGGCAGAGGAGGGGCAGGGACTGAGCTCTGCTCTGGGGGGACCAGGGACAGGACCCAGGGAATGGCTGGAGCTGGGACAGGGCAGGGTCAGGTTGGATCTCAGGGAAAGGTTCTTCCCCCAGAGGGTGGTTGGCACTGCCCAGGTTCCCCAGGGCAGTGGGCACAGCCCCAAGGCTGCCAGAGCTCCAGGAGGGTTTGGACAACACCCTGAGAGACAGGGTGGGATTGTTGGGGTGTCCTGGGCAGGGCCAGGGGTTGGACTGGATGAGCCTTGGGGGTCCCTTCCAATCCTCCAATCCTGGGATTCCCTGTACGTGCTCAGGAAGCAGGGGGGGATCTGTGTGAGGAAAGGAAGTTGTGGTGAGGTGGGGTCGGACTCTTCTCCCAGGAACCAGCAGCAGGACAAGAGGGCCCAGCCTCGAGCTGCACTAGGGGAGGTTTAGGTTGGACATTGGGAAGAATTTCTTTGCAGAGAGGGTGCTCAGCCATTGGAATGGGCTGCCCAGGGAAGTGGTGGGTTTTCCATCCCTGGAGGTGTTTAAGGACAGACTGGATGTGGCATCAGTGCCATGGGCCAGGTGACACAGCGAGGTTGTGTCATGGGTTGGACTGGATGACCTCAGAGGTCTTTCCCAGGCTGGTTGAGTCTGGGGTTCTGTGCAGCCCCTCCGTGCAGGGGGTGGTCCGGGGGTGGTCCCGGAGTTGTTGAGGAGTGTTGCTGATGTGGCTTCTCCCTGTGTGTGTGTCCCCAGCCCCCCCCCACGGTGAGGATCGTGCACTCGGGGCTGGCCTGTAACATCGAGGAGGAGCGATACTCCGAGCGGGTCTACACCATCCGCGAGGGAGAGACCCTGGAGCTCACCTGCCTGGTCACCGGCCACCCCCGGCCACAGGTGAGCCCGCACCTGCCCTGTGCCCACTACACCTTCCCTGTGCCCACCACACCTTCCCTGTGCCCACCATGCCTTCCCTCTGCCCCTCACCCCTTCCCTCTGCCCCCCCCCTCCCCCCTCCCTTCTCCCCTCCGCCCACTATACCACACTTCCCTCTGCCCACATCCCTTCCTTGTGCCCACCATCCCTTCCCTGTGCCCACCATCCCTTCCCTGTGCCCACATCCCTTCCCTGTGCCCACCACGCCTTCCCTGTGCTCAAACAATTCCCTGTGCCCACCACGCCTTCCCTCTGCCCACCAGAGCTTCCCTGTGCCCACCATACTTCCCTCTGCCCACCAAATCCCTCTTCCCATCACCCCTTTCCCTTGTACTCCACACTTCCCTGTGCCCACATCCCTTCTCTCTGCCCACAATCCCTTCCCTGTGCCCACCACCCCTTCCTTCTGCCTGCATCCCTTCCCTGTGCCCACATTCATTCCCTGTGCCCACCAGAGCTTCCCTGTGCCCACCACACCTTCCCTGTGCTCAACAATTCCTTGTGCCCACCACACTTCCCTGCACCCACCACACTTCCCTCTGCCCCTTCCCTGTGTCCATCACACTCCCTTCTGCCCACCATCTCTTCCCTGTGCCCACCACGCCTTCCTTACGCTCACCACAGCTTCTCTGTGCCCACCAGAGCTTCCTGTGGCCACCATGCCTCTCCTGTGCCCACCCTCCCTTCCCTGTGCCCACCAGAGCTTCCTGTGGCCACCAGAACTTCCTGTGGCCACCAGAGCTTCCCTGTGCCCACCACAGCTTCCCTCTGCCCCCACCCCTTCCCTCTGCCCACCATCCCTTTCCTGTGCCCACAATCCCTTCCCTCTACCCACAGTCCTTTCCCTCTGCCCCCCATCCCTTCCCTGTGCCCACATCCCTTCCCTCTGCCCACAATCCCTTCCCTCTTCCCCCCATCCCTTCTCTCTGCCCAGTCTCTTCCCTGTGCCCACATCCCTTCCCTGTGCTCTGAGCCTCTACCAGTTGGTTCCATCTTCCCTTAAGTGGTTGAGATCCAGGGAACAGGATCCACGTGGGGATGATTTGTCCAGGATTTGGTTGGATATTGGGGGGGGTTGCAGAAGAAAGAGCAACAACAGCTGAAAAGTTGATGATTTTGATTTTTTGGTGGCTGGTTTGGTGTTAAAATCAGCAGTATTGTATTTTAATGTGAGGTCTTGGTGTGAGTGTTTGGGAGGAGGAAAAACAAATATAAGGACAATGATTGTTCAGCAAAAAACAATTGTTTGGTGTTAAAATCAGCAATATTGTGTTTTAACGTGAGGTCTTGGTGGGAGTGTTCGGGAGAAGAGGAGGAAAAACAAATATAAGGACAACAATTGTTTAGTAAAAAACAATTGTTTAACGAAGAGATTTTTTTAGTAGAAGATTGTTTGGCAAAAACCAGTTGTCCTCTTAATTGGAGTTTTGAGGGTTTAAGTTCTCTTCTCCACACAAAGCAGTGCTGGCATCCTGGCTTGGAGCACGTCCTTCCCAAAGATCCCGGTGCAAACTCCGGGAGTCTTTTCCTCCCATTGTCTTTCGACCGTGGGTGATTTGATTCCTGTCCCAGATCTTTTGTCACGTTTAGCACTCAGACAGAGCAGGGGGAGGGTTGGGAGCACTGCAGAGCACTCAGAGGGGTGAATTCAGGTGCTCTGGGGGGAAGAAAACATCCAATAAAGCTGCTCAGAGCAGCAAAAAACCAGCATGTAAAGCTTAATCACAGCTTGCTTTTTAGTGCTGCAGGAGGATAGAAAACACCCTCCCGAGCTAAATGTGAGCTTTATCGAGTCAAACACTTAGGCAGGGGGTTTTTTTTTCCAGCCTAAAATACAGGCTAATTTAGTCATGAGTCAGGCTGGATTTTGTCAGGTGTTCAGTGAGCATTTGGAAAGTCTTCCCCCTGAACTGAGGAGTGTCAGCTGGAATCAGCATCAATTTGCCTTGAACAAGGCTCCAATTATGGCACCGGGGACGTGGCAGGGAAAAAACAGCTGCTCCTGTGTGAGGGACCCCCCCTCTCCCCACAAACAAGAATTCATAAGAATTCTTATCAATTAAAAGAGAAAATTTATCTCAGAGGAGCCTTTCGTGTCTCAGCCCATCAAAGCAAACAGCACAAGGGGTGGGGTTTGGTTTTTTGGGGTTGTTTTTTTAGGTTTTAAAGGGAGGGGAGTGCCAGGAAATGTTAATTCTTTCTTTGCACACCCTAATAAGGGGGAGATCTGCAGAATTAAAGGAGGCTCCACTGATCACAGGGAGTGATGAGGGTGGAACATTTCAAACAGTGCAGGTGTTTTATAAGGTGTTTTAAACATTTTAACTCTGTCTGTTGGTGGAGGTGTCTCGTTGCTTTCCAAGAGTGACAGGACACAGGGAATGGCTTAGGAATGACAGGGAATAAGTGTAGGTTGGATATGAGGAAGGAATTCCTGGCTGGGAGGGTGGGGAGGGGCTGGAACAGAATTCCCAGAGAAGCTGTGGCTGCCCCTGGATCCCTGGAAGCATCCAAGGCCAGGCTGGGATCCCTGATCTAGGGAAAGGTGTCCTTGCTCATGGAATAGAGTTAGAACTAGATGACTTTTAAATTCCTTCCAACCCATTCTGTGATTCCATGATTTCAGGCTGATCAAGAAATTAAACTCCTCCATGGTTTTATTGGGAATGATTGGCCCAGTCCCTCCTCCTCAGCTCTCCTGGCTCCAGGTGGCTGCTCTCTCTCCACCAGGAATGTGTTTGCAGGGTTCCAGAAAGGCTTTGGAAGTGCTGGGGGAAGGAGGTCACCTCAACCCAAGATGGGAATGCAGCACCAGGGCGAGTCAGGTGGGTGTTGGAGTCCCACTCTGGAGCTGGGAATATTGAACCCAGACTTGCCAAAGCCTCAATCCCCTCAAAGGAGAGCAGAGAGAGCCCTGGGGAGCTACAAACCCCCCTGGGGGGCTTTGACCCTCCTGAGCCCTGGGGGAGCTGCAAAGCTGCCAGGAATTCCCCTCTGGAAAGTTTCCTGTGGCCCCAGAGCAGGACTGTCCCGTTCTGGGAAGGGAAACAGGACCAGCCTCAGGTTGGGCTGAAACCTGGTCCTTGTCCTCGGAATGGTTTGTGTGTGTTTGTTCCCCTTCCCTCCCAAACCATCCCCTGCACTCTTTGGGGTTTGATCTTTCTCTTGTCACCTTTGATTTCCCTTTTCCTGGTGGCCCTTGGAGGGTTGGCTGGAAGGCTGGAGAAGCAGCTCTGGGCTGGTGCAGGAGGAGCTGTTTTTCCAGGAGCTCCGATCCCTGGGAATGCTCCGGCCTCCCAAGCCCGGGGAGGTGGGTGGGTTTGGAACCAGGGCTGTTGCTGGGAGGTCTCATGGCTGAATTTGGCTTTTATCCTTCTTTTGTCACCTTTGATTTTCCTTATTCTCCTCCTGGAGAAGCAGCCCATGATGGGGAGTGGCACTGGATTGACCTTTAAGGTCCCCTCCAACCCGAACCATTCCCATCATTCTATACTCCTTGGACAAATCTCTTCCCAACTCCACCATTCCCAAAGCACTCTCATTTCCTGGTGGCTCCTGGAATTTTCAGCCTGAAAGGGTTTTATTTAATTTTTATGGCGATTTTCCTTTCTTTGCCTGTCGTGCAACTTCCCTTGATTTTGCAGGAGGGTTTTTTTTTATCCTTAATTGGGTATTTACCTCGTTAACATAATTGTCTTCCTGGTGGCCCTTGGAGGGTTGGGTGGAAGGCTGGAGAAGCAGCTCTGGGCTGGTGCAGGAGGAGCTGTTTTTCCAGGAGCTCCAATCCCTGGGAACGCTCTGGCCTCCCAAGCCCGGGGAGGTGGGTGGGTTTGGAACCAGGACTGTTACTGGGAGGTCTCATGGCTGAAAAAGGATGGATCTGATGAGCAAAGGGATGATTTGGTAACCTGGGAAACCAGCAGCTTCTGCAGATCTGCTGGGGAGCTGAAGGAGAACGTGCTGGTGGTTATGGAGGGATGGGAAAGAAGGAAACAC